GTGCCCGGTTGGCTCCGGGTGGGGACCATGGCTCCGTACTGTGCCCAGCCTTGGAGGTGTCCCTGGGGCAGGGGGAGGAAGGGTGCTCCATGCCCCCCAGTGTAAACCAGAGCAACGCACCAGAGCACTGTCCTGGGGCAGCCCCGGGCTGGGGCAGCCACTCCATGCAGATCTCCAGGCAGTCGGCCGACTCGCAGCAGGCGTCGATGATGCCGCAGTCCATGTCGCAGGGCAGGTCGCAGTCCGCGCATTCGCCCGAGTTGCAGCAGCAGCAGCAGATGCAGCAGTCCTCTGAGGTGCAGGAGCCGCAGGTGGCACAGTCCAGCACGATGTTGCAGAGGGTCAGGAACTCGCAGAAGAGGCAGGAGAGGATGCAGTGGACGCAGCAGTCTGTGGAGGAACAGCCAGAGAGCGGGGAGGGTGAGAGAGCAGCTGGAGGAGGGATGCTCAGCCACGTATGGGTGGAAATCCTCCCATGGGAATTAATGGAAGGGATGGGAAGAGGGGCTGGGAGCCAGGCACTGCTTCCAGGGTCTCCCTCAATGCCCAGGGACATAGCCAGCTGCCTGCGACATGCCCGGACCCCAAGAGAGCCCAGCGCTGGAGGACATGAGGTGACCCCGCTCAGCACCCGCCCCGCAGCGGGCTGCCAGTAGGGGAACTCGGCCGGTGCCCAGATCTGGGCGTCCCGGTGGGCTGGAAGGATGCTACATGAGAGACCCCAAGGGATGTGGGGTCGGAGGAGAAGGGGTGGAAAGGGAACCCCCCGGGGAGAGCCGGTACCTTCTTGCGCCTCAATAGGGATGTGGGAAGAGGCCGACTTGGAGCTGCCCTTGCTCTTCTTGCTGCTCTGGCTGTTGATGGAGTGGTGGGACTGCAGCTTTCGGTGAGGCTTCTGGGTGCTGGGGAGGGGGCGGAAGACCCCGTTCCCGGCCTCCCTGTTGGTGCCGCCTGGATCCGGCGCCCGCCCGGCGCCGTTCTGCAGCAGATGGGTGCAGGGGCTGGGGGGCTGTGGGGCTGCTCGCACTTGGGGCTGGCCTGGGGGGAGAACAGCACGTTACCCCCCAGGCCCTCCCTGCAGCACTCTGCTGGGGGAAAAACCCATGCCTGGTCCCCTGCCACCGCACGGGAACCTGGTCCCTGGGCGGACACGGGGTGGCCTCATGGGTGGGAAGAAGTGACGCTAACAGATGCATGGTCCAAGAGGATGGAGATGGAAAAGGAGATGCAGAAGAAGAGACAGAAGAGGGAAGGAGACAGAGGATCCAGAGAGAGCAAAGGATGAAAAAAGAGCAAGAATGAAGAGCTGTCATGAAGGATGTGCTGCAACTGCCAAAATTCAGTAGGGGACCTGGAGGAGGAGGTCTCCCGGGGTCCCAGTGCTGCCAGCATGGGCAGGAGGGATGAAGCCACCAAGGCTGACCAGGGTGGGTGCGGAGGCATGGCGAGGCATGCTCGCCTCGTGCCGAGTCAGGAAGAGAAGCGCCTGTGACTGCTTCCAGGTGAGAGCCACCACCGTGGCCAAGCCACTGCCCCACGAGCCCGGGGCACGGCACTGCCGGACGGAGCTCCAGGCTGTCCCCATCGCTCTCCGTAAAGCCAGAGAAGACGAATCATCAGCGGAGAGCCGGGCTGCTCATCTCCACTGGACAGCACGAATTGGCCACTTAATCGCAGGACTCCCCAGCCTCTGGCTGAACTTTTCTGCAGGAGGAGGAAAATAACGCTCTGCTCTGTCTGCGCCTCCCTCCAGCCCTCGCACGCCGCAGCTGTGAGCCGGACCCTGCCGGGATGCTGCCGGAGCCCGCGGAACGGCTCAGGCC